TCACAGAGCCTGCACCCCAATCCCCTATCCCAAACCTCCTCCCCAACCCAAACTCCATCCCAGAGCCTTAGGCAGGTGGGGGGCAGAGTTTTTTGAGGGGGCAGAGTTTTTTGGGGGTGGGTTTTGGGCGGCATGAGTGACATTGGCCCGCTGGGAGGATTTGAGGACTGGCGCTGGCCCTCAGATAAACTGAGTTTGAGACCCCTGGCTTAAGCCGACCTCCAACTATTAGAGACCAGGAAACTGACCAAATGCCTCACAAAGCTTACTTAGAAACCAAGCAAGCATACAGCCCATATTCTTACCCTCAGGTAGAAAATGATACATGTGTACAAAGAGGATGAATAGATCTAGTAGACCAGAACCTTTACGGAGATCTGTTACATGGCACAGGCAGCACAAACCATATTCCAGTTATGTCATAGTCCCATAAAGCATTATGAGGTACAGCATCACACCCTCCTCCTGAACTTACTGCCAGAGACTTGGACACTGTCCACGGCGGAGGCAGTACATCTAAAATTCCTCTTTTCTGGATAGGGCATCTGCTACCCAGTTCTCCTTCCCTTTAATATGCATAATCTCCATGTCAAATTCCTGTAGGACCAGGCTCCAGCATAGCAGCTTGGAGTTTGTGCCCTTAGTCCGGTGAAGCCAGACCAAAGGTGAATGGTCAGTTAGAATTCTGAACCTCCTATTAAAGAGGTAAGGCCTTCGTTGTTTGACGGCCCACACAATGGCATAGCACTCCTTCTCTGTGACAGGGTAATTCTGTTCACTGTGACGGGTTGGATCACAGAAACCCCCTTGGGAGCTGCCACCTGATGTGCCAAGACTACTTCTAGCCCTGCTATCCCTGCCAGTTCAGGACCCCAGCACCCTGTCTTGCTGAGCCCGACACTCCTGTCTGCTCCAACACAGACCCAGGGTCTGAATCACTTGCCCCAAAGCTGCAGGTTTACCTGAAAGCAGCTCACAGAAGTGTTCCTGTCTTTAACACTCAGATGCCCAACTCCCAATGGGGTCTAAACCCAAATAAATCTGTTTTACCCTGTATAAAGCTTATACAAGGTAAACTCATAAATT